ATAGGCAAAGGTTTTCAGGGATATCATCATAAAACCAAAAGCTAAAAGATACGAATACCAGGAATACCAGCAAAGCCCGCAACATCATATTCTTCCGTCCGGCCGCCTGAGGATGCCCCCCTATCCATTTATCCTCCTCCATTTCCAAAAGTCAACGAAGGTATAATTCTTCTGCCCTTTTCTTTCACACCTCACACAACAGTAATAATAATCAAAGATCAGAAATTGTCAAAGATTAAAAAACATTTGAAATTGGAAACCCTAAAGCGTAAGACGAACAAAAACAGAAATCAAACCTTACAACATCGCCTTGCTTGACCATGGAGGGAAGAGGAGACGGATGGTGGCGCCTGGTGGCCATGGGCGAAGAATTTTGTTCAGAAAAAGCTTGGCTTGAGAAAGTGAAGACGAAGAGGGAAGATGGAAACGGCGCCTCTGTAAGCTGTAACCCTAATTGCAAAATGAAACAAAACAATGCAAACCCTTAGAAAATGTTGTCAAATACCTTGGGCCGGTTCTCCCCATCAAATGCCTTAAGCCCAACGAAAACAGGCGCACCCCCCCCCCTTTTTTCTTTTATTCTGATTAAGTGTTTGGGCCACCATTTTTTCCTTACAGCCCATTTAACTTTTTTTTTCTCTTCTCTTCCTTTTTTATAAACTAATATTCTTTTATCATTTCATTTATTTTCTTTTTTATATAACATAATTTATTTTGTTAAATAAAACAATACATTATTTTTATACAAAATTTTCTTTTATTACATTTGAAAAAATATATAAATATTAGATTTAATTAGGTTAATAGATTTTATCTTAAAACTCTTTTTAATAAATCTTTTTCATACATAAAAATACTAACTAAAATACATTAACATTAATACATAAAAATAGAATTTCTTAAACATTTTCTTTTCTTTTATTAAATCTTTTGTTTTGTACATAATCAACAAAAATCCAAAAAAATAAATACAATACTTAATTTCGCATTAAGTTAAACATCTTTTCTCACTTGTAAATAAATCACATACGCATTTTACAATACACATTTTATTTCTCTTTGATTCCTATACATTGCTACATTTTACATTGAGATTGCGATTCGATTTGGTTGTAAATATATTTGGACAATACTATCCTGATATGACTCATCCCCATTTGTAAATATTTGTACCCCCATCCCCGGATACTCATTTGTAATAGCTTAGACTTTAAATTCCCGCAATTTATCGCTTTCTATATACTGTATAGTAATTAGGGTTTGTATGCGAAGATTCAAAATCAACCGCTAGATAACCTAATACAAGATAAATGCATGAAAATCAAATACACCGATCACACTTGCACCCCTAGGGTAATCCCGCTTGTTGCCTTCAAAAATGGGCCATGTTGGATGTTGAGTTTCTTTGGCAAAACAAAAACAAATCAAATGATCATAGTCCCTCGATGACGCTTTCGAAGTTGCCTAAACAAATGATCATAGTCCCTTCAAGCAAAATTGCCAAAGACACTTGGCACCATTGCATTCATGGTCCATACGATGACCCACGCCCGTCCCGTTAACATCCTAACACAAGATTGTCCACCAAATACAATGGTGGAACAATACTGTTAAAAGGGTTAAAACATGAGAAAAATCTTTGAGTAAATTTAGGGGTAGACAACTCTTAGTTACTTGATCAAACTTGCAAAACACGCTTGCCTACTTTTCAAAACACACTCCACAACACAACTTTCAAAAACAACTTTCAAAAACTTTGAAACATCTTTTCGAAAAGACAAACACCTTTGTAAAACATTCAAGTAAAGAATTGTTACAACGGTTGCCTATACAAGGCATCTTTTTCAAAACATTTTCAAACACACACACCACAATTTCAAGCAATTGAAAATCAAAGCAAGTGATCTAAAACAAGTAACTAAGAGCCCATGGATAACCATGGATGAAAAGGGTGCTAATACCTTCCCTTTTCATAATCTACCCCCCGAACCCACGAAAACATCTCAAAGGTTTTTCCTGTGCTTTTTAACCTTTCCTTTAGGATAAAATAAAAAGTCGGTGGCGACTCTTGCTAAACCGAACAAGTGCAAAAACAAACACAAAACTCAAGTCAGTTCTCCCACCGTATCACACTCATCATCAAACTCTAGCCTTGCAACCTTGGCTTAATCCACTTGAGGTTCCTTCTTGCTCGTATTGTACTCTCTTGCAAAATGACCGAACTTTTGACAAATAAAGTATTGCATCTTTCTCTTGTCAATCCTTCTCCTTTCACCTCTAAATTTTCCTTGAACACCATTCTTGTTGCAGCTTCTCTCACCCTTTTAACAAGCTAAATTCTGAAAATTCTCTTTACTCTTCATAGGCTATTTTCCCTTCGATGTATTGTCTTTCTCATTGAAATAAACTTGCAAAGCGATTTTCGTATTTACCTTATCATAATTTCTCTCCTTCATTCTCTTCTCATGTGCCTCAAGCGAGCTTTGTCTCTCCTCTTTGTTCATCGTCGCAACATCCTTTGATTCCTCAATCGCTACGACTATGTTATCAAATCTTACCTTCAAAGAACACAAGATTTTCTCGACAACATACTGCTATGTGATCGTTTCTCCACATGCTTTTACTTGGTTCATCAAACGAGTAATTCTCGAGGTAAAATCGTTGATGCTCTCCTTCTCCATTTGAATCAACTCAAGTCGACGTTTGTGAGTTTGTAGCCTCACAACCTTCGCATTTTCAACCCATGCGTATGCCTTCTCCAAGATGATTAACAATCACCAACTTTTTGTTCAAAGTTATCTATATCAACGCATTGATGGATTAAAAATAATGCCTTGAAATCTTTCTTCTTTTCTTCCTTATGTGTTGCTCGTTGTGCATTTGTTGAACCTTCGACAAGAGGATTCACACTATTCTTGATCACTTCAAAGATGGGTAGGTTTGCATAGATTCTTTTATAACTTGGAAGAAAATTGGAATGAGAGAGAGAGAGAGAGAGAGAGAGAGAGAGAGAGAGAGAGAGAGAGAGAGAGAGAGAGAGAGAGAGAGAGAGAGAGAGAGAGAGAGAGAGAGAGAGAGAGAGAGAGAGAGAGAGAGAGAGAGAGAGAGAGAGAGAGAGTTCATACAATATTTATATTTTAACTATACAATGATACCTCAAAGGTGTATATATATATATATATATATATATATATATATATATATATATATATATATATATATATATATATATATATATATATATATATATATATATATATATAAGAAAAATAGATTAGAACACAGATAATAAACTGAAATAACAGAAAAACTTAAACTAACTGTCTGTAATCGATTACAGTTGTTTTAACAATTAATTTTCAACTCAGTAAAAATGATTATCAAAACGCAATAACTAATTATACTTGTTCTAACAGACAAAAAAACACTACACTCTATAACCAATTACTAAAATGCAGTATTTCATAGATGTAGAAGAAAATAAGCTGTTTGTGACAAGCTCCATATGTAGGAGGAGTGTTGTCTCATTGAGAAAATTTCCAGGTCATCATGAACGTTAATGAGAAACTTTCTGGTCTTGTATTTGTTATCAACCAATTACTTCACACCATATTAGTTAAAGAAAACACCTTTTTAAGATTCCATAGTTCCACGGTACATCATGAGATAGAACATAATTTCTTATCCACACTAAAAGTTTCATATATATGCACTCACTCTTAGACCTTAGGACTTCACTATTTAATTTCAATACTTCATTTATTCGAGAAAGTATAAGGTGCCAAGAATATATACTTCATGCTTCATTAAATTTAGCAATACAAATTAAGAAAACAAAAACAAAGAATAAGTGAGAATAACATGTCTTGTATTTGTCTTAAAATGCATGTGGACAATCCTACCTATATAAGTGGCTATATGTACACATATGATATTTAATTAAGCACCGAACACGTGTACATTTCACATCCTTCAATTATCCAATTTTCTTTTGCCCATTCTTATTAAATTATAAAATAAAATAAAAATTATTGGTCTGAATTTATCCGTTATCCGAATAATACTATTTAATAAAAAAATATTATTTAATTATATTAGATAATTTATTTAAAAATAATATATGATTTATCATTTAATATAATTGTGATTAATTGACGGTATTTTAAACTGTTAATATATATCCTATTTTCTATATTATTATCCAGTCAAACTCAATTTTAAAATTATACCGATTTATGTCATCATAATTTAAATGAATTTATCTAAATAGTAGTATTTGAACAAACATATATGATATATCAAATTTTAGAATTCAGACAAAGCGAAAAGAAAATTTTAAAAATTTATTAGGATTGAAAGTAATATACAAAAAAAATTTCAATGAGCCTCTCCAAAAAAATGCGAAGGGTAAAAGGAAGAGGAAGGAGACAGGGGAAACCTCCATGATCGGAATCACCGTCGGCGAAGAATCCACCGGAACAAGTGATAGATGATTCGGAAGTACCATCGGAATACTCAGAGTCATCACACCATTTTGATCTTAGCAGCAACTGTAGCATCTATTGCGAAGAGAAGCAACCAAAGAACGATGAAACCATAACGCCTGGAATCGCCATTGAAGAACCTAGGAAACTTTGGGTGGATGTAATCAGCAACAACCGGAAGCCTGTTAACGGTATGAGCCTTGATTTTATTGCACCTAAAGTATTTAATGGGGAAATTGTGGTCGAAATAGATTAATCAGATATTGAATCTGAGGTCAAATATTGGAGAGCTGGTAAAACAACCTATAGAATATGAGTGACTGCCTAAGTTTTGTGGGAAGTGTCAAAGGTTTGGTCACAATTGTGCTACAATGAAACATATTCCACATTGGAAGCCAAAGAAGAACCTATTGAGAAAGTTGTGAAACAAAACAATGAGCCTGAAGGAAGCAAACCTACTCATGTCCCTGAAGGAAGCAAGCCTACTCATGCCCCTGAGCCTGTAAATGTGGGCTCATGGGGAATGAGGATAGGTGTCTTCAACATGTTGACCTCAGTGTTGTGAGAGAGGGGCCCCAACTCTCCTATAATCAAAGGAAGAACCTCATAGCACCTATCCAAGAGAAGGAAATCTATGAAGCTCTTCATGATGTAGGGGACTCAAAAGCTCCAGGGGTGGATGGCTACAGTGCTAAACTCTTCAAGACTTGTTGGAACATTGTGAAGCAAGATCTTGTGAAAGCTATCTGCTACTGGTTCAAACATAACACTATGTATAAGGCTTTCAATGGCACCTTAGTCACCCTCCATCCCAAAAGTGCAGATGCCAAATACCTAAAAGACTAAATGCCCATTGCTTGTTGTTCTATAGTGTATAAAATTTACTCAAAAATTCTGACAACCTGGTTTGCAGGTATTATTAGCATCATCATCAGTCACAATCAAGCTGCTTTCATACCTGGAAAACAAATACATATCCTCCTAGCTATTGAGCTTATTAAGGGGGTATTCAAGGAAGCAGGGCACTCCTAGATGTCTGGTTCACCTTGATCTTCAAAAAGCATATGATATGCTTAGTTGGAAAGCTCTTGAAACTATCCTTCTGGAAGTTGGCATGCCTGATATGTTTGTGAGGTGGATTATGGATGGAGTGTCCGCAGTGTCATACAGGTTCAACATAAATGGGGATCACTCTAAGTTGATGATGGCCAAGAGAGGTATTAGACATGGTGATCTTATCTCACCCTTTCTATTTGTCATAGTCATGGAGTATATGAGTAGACTTCTGCATAAAATGCAAAGGAACCCGAATTTCAATCATCATTCCAAGTGTGAGAGACTGGAGTTAACCCACCTTACTTTTGCAGATGACATCCTGTTATTTGCTAGAGGGGACAAGGGATCTGTTGACCTTATGATGCAAACTATACAAACTTTCTCCAACTCAACAGGACTTGTGGTCGACCCTTCCAAGTGCAATGTTTATTTTGGTGTTGTAGAGGATGATGCCAAGCAGCTTACTCTCAGTAGTACAGGGTTCAATGAAGGGAAGTTTCCTTTTAGGTACCTTGGAGTTCCCATATCTAGTAAGAAACTCCCAGTGGGTCACTACCTCCTTCTCATTGAGAAAAGCCTAGGCAGAATACAACACTGGAGTGCAAAGTTGTTGAGCTTTGCAGGTAGAGTTTAATTGGTGAAGGTTATTGGTTTTGCCATAGCCAACTACTAGCTTCAGTGTTTTCCCATTCCCAAAATTGTTTTATACAGAAAATCCATACTGCTTGCAGAACCTTCATTTGGACTGGTGGAACCTCCCCCAGAGGAAAAGTCCAGTAGCTTGGAAGAGGATTTGTAAACCTAAAGGTAAGGGTGGATTGAATGTGTTGAATCTAGAAATATGGAACAGAATTACGATGATGAAGTTGCTCTGGAATCTGTGCAAGAAAAGTGATTGCCTTTGGGTGAAATGGATGCATATGTATTTCATAAAAGGGCAAGATATGATGAATATGGTTGTTAGCAATAATGCATCTTAGATTAACAAAGGGATCATGAAAGCTAGGCAGAGAATATATGAGGTGCAGACCTACTGGGATGCTAGCCTTGTGGCTAACAATTTTAAAGTGGGAAATGTCTACAGGATTCTGCATGATCCTGATTTGAATGTTAATTGGTATGGTTTGATTGCAGGTAACATTGCCAGACCCAGAGTTGGGTTCTGTCTATGGTTAGTATGTCATAAGAGACTTGCAACCAAAGATAGGCTTGCTAAATTTGGCATTGTAACTGACAAAACCTGCTGCTTCTGTCGAGAGAATGAAAGTATCAGATCATTTGTTGTTTAGTTGTCCTGTGATGAAGCAGATTTTGGTGCAAATTCTGCAATGGATACAAGTTGATCACCTCCCTCTTTCTTGGGAGGATGAACTCACTTGGCTGAGTACCTATTGTAAAGGAAAGAGCAAAAAAGTGGTGGTGATGAAAACTGTTGTGGCTGAAGTAGTTTACACTTGTTGAAATTTTAGGAATGTTGTGTGTTTTGAGAATATAGATAGAGATAGTAACACTATTGTAAATAACATCAAAGATGCTATCATACGTAGGAGTTGGAATAGTAACAAATATAGAGATTATATAGCTCAGTTTATGATGTAACTAGTTGTTAGGCTGGATCTTGAGTTCACCTTTGTAATAATTGTTTTTGAATTAATCATTATATTTTAATTATTCAAAAAAATGTAAAGTATAATAAATAACCCTAAATTAAATAAGCAAAATATTTTTATTTATTTAATTTTTACACAAAAATTAAGTAATTTGTGTGTCAAATATTCATTAGGGTTAGAGAAAAATTTAAAGTTCAGAGTATATATAGAAGTGTATATATCACTCACTAATTAGACCTTCACATCCAGTAAAATTTAAACTTAGAATTTGAAAATTTTAAAACTTATCAATTTGAAACCAACTGTATTTGATACTCGCTCTGATTAAAAAATAAAATGTGTTTTAAGATGATTGTTATTTTCTAATTATCATTTTATATATTATTTTTGATATATTAATAAATTTAATTTAATAAAAATTTAATATATTATGATAAGAGTATTGTATTATTTAATTTACATGAAAAAACCTCGAATGATATTCATTTTGAAATGAAAAGAGTATTATTTGATATTCATAAGATAAAATGTCTCAAATTTGAGTATTTAATGAAAATTGAGAAAAATTAAGGGAATTTCTTAACACATCCTATGTCATTGAAAAAATCTTATAAATATTTAATTTTGCTCTTATGTTTTCTGAAGTGTATTTTTGGAACGCATCTTTTTTTTTTAAATTTCAGTTTATCCCAGAAATGCATTATGAGAGAAGACCAGAAACGTATTTCTGAAATTTATGTAGATAGTAACAGAAAATAATTTTTTTTATTTTAAATGTTGAAAACTACAAAATGAATACAATACTATATGCATGACATGACATGAATATATATATATATATATATATATATATATATATATATATATATATATATATATATATATATATATATATATATATATATATATATATATATATATATATATATATATATATATATATATATATATATATATATATATATATATATATATATATATATATATATAGTATTCAACACTATAAAATGTGTTTAAAATCGATAAAGTCGCTAACCAAAATATTATCCAAATATAATCTAAAGTTGATAAACAAAATATTATCCAAGCCAAAATACAATACAAGATATATAGATGTAAAGACTACTACATATGGCGGAGTCTGAGTCGGCCCGTGATCCTTCCGACGTTCCTCTGCTGCCTTCTGTACTATAGAGTCTCCCGGGCTCCGCCATGATGGCATCTAGAACACTTCTAACCTCAGAGCCATCAGGAAACAATACAAAAATTAATAGTTAATGTAATATTTACCTCTCAGTCTCAGATATGTATGGTAACATGGTCCAAATATAGAGGCAGTCGTGATAAATTGGAAGGCCCTCCTCTAAAACCTTGAGGTTTTGCATGTGCGGCCTCATCTGCATGGGCCTTAGGTGCGGCCTCAGCTGCTTGGGCCTCATGTGCCGCCTCAGGTGCCGCCTATAACTGAGACTGTGATGCAAGCTATGATTGGGACTAAGGATGAGATGCATCAGGATTCAACTGTGTGGTCTCAGGTATCAGCTAGGATTGTGATGTCTCTCATGCCTCAAATATCATAAGTGAAGCAGTGTGTCTACAGGAAGATGGGGACAGAGAGAGATGATCTGGAGAACCTCACTTGTTGCGGGAGGACGATGAAGCATGCAGAGAAACTTGAACACCGGAACCTGTAGCCGCATCCGTTACAAATTTTCCAGAGGTAGAAGAAGAAGTCTGGAATGCCTGACTATTTTCTCTAAGAACCGAAGCATGTTGTGCAAGCAGGCATATCTCAACCTAGATGGTCTTTCAACCATAACTCTTGTAGAAGTACGAAACAAACATTACCAAAAAGACTCATGTTCAAAAAATAGGAAAAATAAATAAAGACTAAAACAGAATATAAATGCTGAACAAAATCGAATATGTATCTCTGGTACAACCTACAACTTTTATGCTTCATCAATGGCGAAGCTCAGCCACTAAGACCTCAAAAAAATTATCATTGATCATAAAAGCAACTATACTAAAACGTTTATTCCTACTTCTAAGCTTGCAAACACTAAAAATACTTGAATTATCTAATCTAAAACACAATTTCTAGGTGAAATTACATTAACTCAAAAAATAACTTACAATTTCTGATTTTTGTTGGTTGATGAAGCTTGGACAATGATGTTTGTCTGTTACTTGTTGATTTTTGATGAGATTTTCACACAATGGAATAATTTTCACACAGTGGGGGTTTGAGAGAGTTTTGTATTTAAGTTTTGTGTTTGAGCTCAAAAACACTTTCTGAAATCAGAAAGGAGAAAAGACAGTGCGCGTATTTGTGTTAACACGAACCAGAAATGCACTTACGGATCCCTCCCGTAAGTGCATTTTCGATTTATTTCTGTGTGACATCTAAGGTTTCTTAGGCTAAACTATGGTCTGTAGTTGGGGTGTTTCCGAAAATACAACTACGAATCTCTTTGATAAATATATTTTCGGTTAGTTTTCTGTTCTTTTATAGTGTTTTGTCCATTAAAAACCTGACTAAAGATATTTTCGAAAATACATTTTAATAATTAAGAATATTTATGTATTTTCGCGTGATGTGTTAAAAATATATAAAATGTATTAAAAAATTCTCAAAATTAATAGCACTCTTGTTTTTGTAGTCAAAAGAAGCACTTATAGAAAACCATCAGTTTCAATTCTATAACCCATTCTGTGTGTGAATGAAGCCAAGGGGACATTGAATCATAAGAGCTGTTTGTGGAGGACACAATGATTGCCAAAAAAAAGACATCAGGAAAATATTAATGTGGAGTGGTGTGTTAACTAACAAAGTGACCCTAATTTCAATTTGCTAATAATTTAATATATATTGTTCTTGCCAAACAAACAACTAGATTTAAAATTATAAGTATTTTTATATTTGAAATTATTTTTTATTCGAATTAATTATCGTCTTTGTAAATCAAAGATATTTATTACTTTATTGAATAATTAAGTAAATATAATTTAAATATATTTATATTCTTTAAAATACAAATTTTTATATTTGTATCTACATATGTCACATTTATAACAAGATAAATGAAGTATTTGATAATCACTTGCCCTTTTATGAATCAGTTCAACATACTCCATTTGATTCAATATTAAAAAGCAAGTTAAGACTTGTTTGTATTTATAAGTTATAAAAAGTAATTTACGTTTGAGAATTTTGACGGGGAGCGAAAATAAAGTTTTGGAAGAAGAGTAAGAATTTTTTTCCTGCAATAATCAGTTTTTGAAAAAAAATACATAAATAATCATGTTTCGGAAAAAATTACGCAAATAATTATGTTTCAGAAAATCTTACAAAGGAGGAATCAACTCAGTTGGCGCATGCACTTAAAAGTAAAGGGGAGACATCATCTCACTTGGCGCCTAGGTGTTAAAAGTTTGCCCTAAGCCATGTGAGATGGCGCCTAAGTGCAATAGAGGTGCAACTATTTCGTTTTTTATTTTAAATGTGAGACATTAGGTAAACGATATAGCTTCACGAAAATTCGACTTTTTATTTACAAAAAAATGATTACATAATAAAAAAAACATACAAAATAATTAGTGGTCCCCCAGAACTCGGTAACGACCCGCGGTTCCGCATCCGCGTCCTCGCCTGTCTCGTGGTGGGTTTCGTCGCGTTTCCTGTTGTGGCTGGGTTGATGGTTCGACGAAGTCAATGCGTTTCGGATTCATAAAATCGGTCAGATCTCCATATCTGGAAGATCCACTTTGATACAGTCGGTTACACATACCCTCAAAGTTTGGTCGTCTTGGTGGTGGATGGGGTTTCATGGTTGATCTATAGCACTGGTCGTCTGAGTAAGGGGTAGAAAGAAAATGAATCTTGGGGTGTTTGGTATTGCGAATGTTGGATGTTATGGTGATGTGGTGGTTGATGGTAAGTTGGGTCGGTTATGTCATATTCTTCAGAAAATCCCATATCAGGGCTAAGGTTAGATGTTGAGGGGCTCATATTGGGATAAGAGAAGACTGGAATTGTGTGTGGAGCGTGCGGTTGTATTGGTATTGTGATTGAGATTGTGGTTGGGTGTGGGGCATATGGGGGTATTGGTATTGAGGTGGTGATTGTGGTTGGGTGTGGGACATATGGGTGTATTCGTATTGTGGTGGTGATTGTGGTTGGGTGGTT